ATCACTGGCTGCGGTCAGTGTGCGGGTGGGTGACCACTTGGATCAGTCTGCGTAGGGACCGAGGGTGTGCGGTATTGGTCCTCGTTAAACTTTTCTACCGTAAAGTGCTCGACTTCGCATGCAGGTCGTCGGGCTACCGAAGAGGGGGTGCCATCCCCTCTGCAGAGGATCAAAATTGTGATGGTATGTCTTCGGATCATCCTCAGGGATGTTTCCCAGACCGTCGCCAATAGCCTATTGTTCAGCTCTAGTGCGACATAAATAACCATAACAACAACAACACTTTCGTCAGGATGAAAGTCGAAAGTTTGAACTTGGTTAATTAAAAAACACATTTATTCGAAGATAATCTTATTAAAAAGTGATAAGTATTTGTTTATTTTTTTAATGCTTATTATATAAATGAGTAAAAAAAGGTAAGTTATAAGCATTCTATACCCCATTTAAACATTGTAACTTCAAAGGACAGAATTTAAGGGGAATCGATCCAATAGTTCTTTAGAAATGAAAATTTAAAATCAGATTTTCTTAATTATTATTTAGATTTTACCAAGAGGTAAGTTAAGTTTTTGATGAATTTTACTTTTGTTTTAAAATCACGTAGCTTCAAATGATACAAATATTTTACTTTTAAAAAAATCTCAATTTTTTTGTCATCTAATTTAAATTACAAAAAAAAGTATTTTAAAAATTTGATTTTGCTTGAAATTAACTGAGGATACACCAGTTTTATAATAGTGTGCAAAAAGCTTTTGATTCCCTTAAATAGTTCTGGATATGTAGCGAAACATGCATTAAGGGGCCCAAATTATCCAATACTATCCTAACCAAAATATTGAAACCTTATTTTCTAGATTAAGTCTACTTTCCACTGTAAGTTAAAGGGTCGAGAATCCAAATGACATTTTTGTAAGTGAATTCGTAACTTTAAATTATTGATTATTAAATATTGCCTCTAATTTCAATGAAAGGGCATATTTAGGGTTTGTCCAGAACAGCACCCACCTTAATTTTTTGCTTTGACTTTCACGGTTCTTTTAGGATTAAACTCGAATAAAAGATTTAACTTTGCATAAAACAAAACTTACGTTTTAATGCATTTCATAAAATTTTGAAACTCCTTAAAAAATTCACCGAAGTCAAGAATCACTGGCTGCGGTCAGTAAGTGGGTGGGTGACCACTTTGATCAGCCTGCATAGGGACTGAGAGTGCGCGGTATCGGTATTCGTTAAACTGTTCTATCGTAAAGTGCTCGACTTCGCGAGCAGGTCGTTGGGCTGTCGACCCCTCTGTAGAAGATCAAAATTTCGATGGCATGTCTTAAGAACAACCTCAGGGATGTTTCCCAGACCGTCGCAAATTGCCCATTGTGCAGCTCTAATGCGACGTAAATAAAGTTACCTACCAAAGTTAGCACACAATTATAATGTTTATTTAATCAAAAATAATTCAATTAAAAATAATTTTTAGTTGTTAAAATTTTTACACCAATTTAATCTTCCTAGTTTTGAATGATAAAATTCGAGATTTGAATTGAACCAGTCAAATAATGTTTGAGAAATAGATTTAAAAATGTGACTTCTTGGGGAAACTACAAAAATCAAATTTAACTTTAGAGTGTCCACTACAATTTAATGTATTTTATGTAACATACGTTTTTGTTTTGTATCTTTACTGTGAAATAAACTGTTCTACATAAAATGCACTATTAAATATTATTTATTCGATATTTAGGTAACGTAAATAAAGTTCCTACCTACCAACCTTAAAAAATTATTTTATCAACTTTTTCCTTTTTTTCTAAATTAAACTTTTATTTCAAATTTAAAATGTTTTCATGAAAAAAATTGAAAAAAGAGGATATTGTTACGTAAGCATTGCTTATACCCATACGTCCTTGTCAGCAAATCGCAAACCCAATCCTCCTTTTAAGTACTTATCTAATACTTGAACGGTTCCCCTGTCAGAAATTAGGAGAATGTATGTCGTAGCCCAATTTGAAATTCAGGTGCATTGCAAACTACTAAGTCAGATGCCAAGGGTTAAATCATTTAAACAAACCAGGTGTTAAATTGTAATTTATAGCAATTGAAAACATGTTATTTAAAATGCCCTAAAAACCAATACTGCGATTCGCCGTTCTCTAAATAAATTATAAATAAGCAAGTAATATTAAAAAAAAAAAAAAAAATTAAAGTCAATTCCTACTAAGGTCAACAAAGAAAAAATTTATTTTGATTACTTTTTATTAAA